CATCTTTAAGTGCAGAGGAAATGAACTTATCCCTTGTATATTATCAGAACATAGTGCAATGAAATTCAAGATCGATACCAAAAGAAATCACACAAATTTCATAAACACATGGAAATTGAACAACCCACATCCGAATAAGCAATGGGTCACAGAGGAAATTAAAGAAGAAATCAGACAATTCCTTCAATTGAATGACAATGACAATACAACATATCGGAATCTATGGGACACAATGAAAGCAGTCTTACGAGGGAAATTCACAGCAGTGAATGCTCACACTAGGAAAACAGAGCGATCCTAATTAAACAACCTGACGCTGAACCTCAGGCGGCCACAAAAAGAACAGCAAGACAAACCCAAAGTTCATACAAGGGAGGAAATTATAAAAATCACAGCAGAAATCAATACAATGGAGACTAAGAGAACGATACAAAAAACAATGAAAGCTAGAGTTGGTTCTTCAAAAGAATGAAAAAATTGACAAACCCTTAGCCAACCTTATAAGAAAAAAGGAAAGAAAAGGCCCATATGGATGCAATTAGGAATGAAAAGGATGAAATTACAATGGATCCAGCAGAAATCCAGAGGATCATCAATACCTACTTAGAGAACCTATACACCAATAAGGTGGAAAACACAGGAGAAATGGACAGATTCCTAGATTTGTATGAATTACCAAAGTTGAACGAAGAAGACTGAAAAACTCTAAAAAACCAAATATCAACCAATGAAATTGAAAACATCATTAAAAACTTACAACTAAAAAAAGCCCAGGTCCTCATGGCTTCACTACTGAATTCTACAAGACATTTAGAGAAGAAATTCTGACACTACTGTTTAAACTCCTCAATGAATTTGAAAGGGAAACAATACTCCTGAATTCATTCCTGGAAGTAAGCATCACCTTGATCCTCAAAGCAGAGAAAGACCAAAACAAAAAAGAGAGCTATAGGCCAATCCCACTAACGAACATAGAAGCTAAAATCCTTAATAAGATACTGGCAAATAGAATGCAGAAGATCATCAAGAAGACCATACACCCTGACCAAGTGGGATTCATCCCAGGGATGCAGAGATGGTTCAACATACGCAAATCAATCAGTGTAATACACTGCATCAGTAGAGCCAAGGACAAAAATCAAATGATCATATGAATAGATGCACAAAAAGCATTCGACAAAATCCAATACACATTTATGATAAAAACCCTACAAAAAATTGGAATAGAGGGCCGGGGATTTAGCTCAGTGGTTCTGGCACCTGCTGCACAAGCACAAGGTCCCGAGTTTGATCCCCGGTACCAAAAACAAACAAACAAAACAACAACAACAACAAAATAAATCGGAATAGACAGTCTCTACCGCAATCCAATAAGAGTCATCTATGAAAAACCAGGAGCCAATATCATACTAAATGGTCAAAAACTGAAATCCTTTGCACTAAAATCAGGAACAAGACAAGGATGTCCACTATCACCACTCCTGTTCAACACAGTTTTGAAAACATTAGCCAGAGCAATTACACAAGAGAAAGAAATAAAAGGAATATAGATAGGAAATGAAGAAGTCAAACTGTCATTATTTGCAGATGACATGATACTGTATATAGAAGACCCCAAGAACCCCACCAAAAGCCTTCTAGATAAAATAACCAAATTCAGTAAAGTACCTGGATACAAAGTCAACACACAAAAATCAATAGCTTTACTCTATGCAAACAACAGACTCACTGAGAGAAATACGGTAAACAATTCCTTTCACAATAGCATCCAAAAAACTGAAATACCTAAGAATCAACATAACAAAAGAAATCAAAAACCTCTTCTCTGAAAACTATGGCACTCTGAAAAGAGATTGAAGATGTTATCAGAAAATGGAAAGACATCCCTTGCTCCTGGGTAGGAAGAATCAGCATAGTGAAAATGGCCATACTTCCAAAACTGCCATATAGAATTGATGAAATCCCAATTGAAATCTCAGCAGCACAATTCAAGGACCTTGAGAAAACAATCCAAAAATTAATTTGGAAGAAGAGACCTAGAATAGCAAAAGCAATTCTAGGCAACAGAGACATGGCAGGGGGTATCACAATCCCCAACTTGAAACTATATTACAAAGCTACTGTGATAAAAACAGCATGGTACTGGCAAAGAAACAGACCTGAGGACCAGTGGAACAGATTAGAAGATGCAGAAACAAAGCCAGACACACTCAGCCACCTCATCTTTGAAAAAGGTCCCAAACACCCTCACTGGAGGAAAGATAGCCTCTTTAATAAGTGGTGCTGGGAAATTGGGTTTCAACTTGCCAAAGATTAAAACTAGACATATATCTCTCACCATGCACAAAGCTAAAATCAACATGGATTAAAGATCTAAATATTAAAATAGAAATGCTGAACTGGCTGGAACAGAGGTTTGGTAGAACTCTTGAAGATGTTGGTGGAGGAAAATGTTTTATGAACAAAACCTCAGTTTCCCGTGAACTAGCACAATCAACAACTGGGATCTCTTCCTATTAAAAAGCTTCTGTCCAGCAAGAGAAACCACCAAGAGTGTGAAGAGACAACCCAGAGTCTGGGAAAAAATTTTTGCCTGCTGTTTCTCAGACAAAGGTCTACTACCTGGAATTCATAAAGAATTTAAAAAGATCAGACCTCCCACATTTAAAGACCCAACCCAAAAATGGGCATCTGAAATCTACAGACATTTCTCAAAGAAGAAGAAATAGCAAATAAACATATGAAAAAGTGTTCAACATCACTGTTCATTCATGAGATGTAAATGAAAACAATGCTGAGATTCTACCTCACCCCAGAAAGATTGGCTGCTATCATGAAATCAAGTAATAACAAATGCTGGTTGGGCTGTGGGGAAAGAGGAACACTGCTCCACTGCTGGTGGGAGTATAGACTGGTGCAACCACTGTGAAAATCAGTATGGAGATACCTCAAAGAACTAGGACTGGAAGTCCCATTTGACCCAGCTATTCCCCTGCTGGGGATCTTCCCAAAAGAATTAAAAGAATCATACCACAGTGATATATGTGCCTCCATGATCACAGCAGCATAATTTGTGATAGCCAAAACTTGGAACTAGCCCAATGGCCCATCAACTGGATAATGGATCAAGAAAATATGTTTTTCTTCTTAATGGAGTACTACTCAACCATAAAAAATGAGAAATTAGAAACATTTATTGTTAAATGGATGCATATTGAGGCCATACTCTTAAGTGAAATAAATAGGACACACATGTGCAAGTACCAAACAGTTTCTCTAGTGTGAGAAACTGAAAGTGTAAATAAGGACTAAAAGGTATAAAAGCAATGTGAAATAGGAAGAAAAGGGGCAAAGGGGAAGAGGCAGTGGGAGGGGTAGGGGAAAGGAAAGAAGGGAATGGAATTAATATGAGAAAATGTAAAAATGGAAACAAAGTGTTTGTAAATATGGAGGGATGGAGTCGTTGTAGGGTGGTAGGGAAAGAGGGAAAAATAACAACCAAGAGAGATTATGTAAAGGTGCAAATTTCCAGCGATGAAGGTCATTATATTGTATTCCTAAAATGTACCAATAAAATTACTTTTAAGAAATAAAATAAGTCTATGTATGTTCAATACACATACACATACACATGCACACATGCATTTGCAGATACACATTTTGTTTCTCCTGTGGTGTGTGGAATAGTGTTTCTTTGTTAATGTACTAATGACAAAATTAGGTCAATATTCCTCACTCTCTTTCATAGTTCTTATAGTCCTTTTATGAACTAAAGACATAAATATACTATGCCTCTTGATCTATATGATCTATAGATAAATCTCTATAGATGGTTTCTACCAAATTTATATTTCATTACACTTGCTATTTCAATGTTACTAATATTGAAAAAATTACAAAAGCTAAAATGACATTATATCTCTCTTTTTGTCAAACTAAACTGTTGTTTCATGGCAACTATCTGCAGAAATAATCACATAAAATATTTGAAAGGAGAACCTTGGACAAACTCTGTTTAAATCTCTCTGATGGGTTCTATGTGAAACACAGTTATGAATAAGTTTCATAAGAAGAAAAAGCCAAGATTGATTTTATTTACTACTAAATGAGAAAATAATGGTTCCTGTACTCTCCTTAATTTCCATTTCTCTGGATCTATATAATATATGGCTAACCTAACAGGTGACACACTGTGTCATAAGCCTTGATTGTACTATTTGCTAATTTTAGCACCTAGTATAAATCACAAATCTCTCCAAATTTCAGTAGAACATTCAATACAAATAAAGGTGTTACAAAGTACTATCTCTGAGGCTCACTGTATATTAAAAAATAAGCTATAACCCTATAAAAGTATTCATGGAAATGAGAACCATAAAATTAAAACATAAATGCAGGTGCCTACATTAGTCAACCCTTTCCTAAAATTTTTAAGAATATTCTCTCATAAGCTAGATATTGTAAAATGAGAGTCTAGCATATTGGCCTTGCATAGAATAACCTAAGAGCTTAAAAGTCTTTAAAACTAGCTAGAAACTTCTGAATTAACTTAGATTTAATCTTTTCTGGAAGCTAGAAAATGGATTTTAAATTATTGCATGCCATATTTATAGTTCATTATTTCCAAGTTAGATTTGTTTCTTCCCCAAAGTTTAAGATAATTTTACTTTTATTAATTGAAAGGATTCTGTATTTAAGTAATATAATTACTCTTATGTTGGTTAAGTCCAAATTTAAACCATTATACCTACAATAGGTTAATCTTATAGCATGTGAATTATATTTAAATTTTTTATTGAAAAATTTTCATGCACAAAAATTTCTGAGAAGAAAATATGTTCTATTCTTTGAACTGCAGTTAATTTATTAATAATTACATCCACTTATTACTTACTTACCTGAATAAGTTCCTTTAGCTGATAGGAGTTTTTCTCCTTTCCCATTAGTGTCTTTTCTTATATGGTAAAAATGATGCTTAATAAATTAACATGCATACTTACAAGGCAGGAATCTGCTTCACCCTCATCCATTGGTTCATCAACCATTTTAAGACCATTTACCTGAAAAATAGTGTTCAAAACTTGAAGTTCAGGAGTATTAAGACAAGAGTAATAACTCAGAAAAATATCCACAGGCATTTCCTTTCACAATCTAACAAGGTCCAAATTACAGAAAAACAAAAGACACAAAGATACTTATAACAGGTCACTATTAATATGGTTCTCAGACTGTTAGTGAGTATCCCTGACTTTTTCAGAACTTCAGGCCTCTCTTTCATGTGGGTCACTTCAAATTTCATGAGATACTATATAGAAAAATAAACTATAAGAGACAGAACCATATGCTCACAGAAACAAAATCATTTAAACACACAAAGCACAACGATATTTATACCTTCTCTCCAACCAATAATTAAAGAAAAAGTAGATATTGAGGACATAGATCAAGGGTCTCTAATCTATAATCTATGGGCCAAATCTGGCCTGCCACCTACTTTGACACAAAATGTTACTGGAACACAGTCACACTCTTTTTTTTTATACTATCTTTGGTTTTTTTCACACTATAAGAGCTGAATTGAACAACTGTGACAGAGATCCTATCCTGCAGGGCAAATACGTATTATTTGGTCATTCAGAGAAAAAGTCTTCCAATCCCTGATCTAAGGTGTTTAAGAAGCATGCAATAAGCAGTCTGGTCTTTAAAAAAAAAACACAAATTTTATCACAGACCATTTGTAAGAGTTCAGAGGGAAAAATGTAAATTAATTAGAGCTATTGATAAAAGCCAAAGTAGAGTAAGCCCACTAAGCCTATCTCTCGCTTAAGTATAAACTAAAAATGCTAGGCAGAATGTAAAAAGAAACTACCTACGGATTCTAGCAACTAACAGGACCTAGTAGGAGAGAGCACACCATCTGAAAAAAAATTTAAAACTCCAACAAGTTTCCTAAGTTTATTTTCTACCTTATACTCTAAATTTGACCCAAGGAGAGGCTGAGACTTATATACTCTAGGCATGAACAAAAATACCCAGAAAAATCCCACTCTGTGGACACTGTATCAGAAAAAGATGCACTTTTGAGTTGGTGTACATAGGAGAACCTTGGTTTTCTAAACTTCGACTTTCTCTTTTTCAACTATCAGCATTACTCTAAGGCAAGCATCAAATCAAGAGAAAATCTACCTATCTGGCCTAAGAAAGCAAGAAAAGAGACTCTCATGATTTAAAAAAAAAAAGTGTGGGGATAATATCAGTTAATTTTTTTTTCACTTTCAATTTTACTCCAAAGGCAGCCTCAATGGTACAGGGCTACGTGACAGCATGAAAGACTAAGTCTTTGAGAGAAATGAGAAACTTACCGCCCCCCCCAAAAATCAAAAAGAGCCTATTGGAACTGGATAATTTGGAAAAAATCACAGGACATAATTTGAGAAAGAGATCCCCTAATTCTGTGTATGAAGCAATACAAGTTTTGGTCTCAACAGCAAATGCATATATAGGGAATATAGACAAAGAAGAATAACAAAGATGTTGAGAAATGAATTTAGCATCAACCACTGCTCAAGTCTCAGACTATTCACTTTATTACCAAGTGTACAGAGCAGCAAATGTAGAGTACTGACACAAATCCTCTGAAAATCAATGTTAGGCCAATTATACAGAAAGATAACTTGGAAGTCTGAATCAAACAAGATAGATTGCTTACTAAAACAAAAAAAAAAAATTCAATGGTATCAATTCCATGATAGCTCTAATGTTCAAATAAATGTCAAGGATTTTAAAAAAACTACCACAACTATGCTTTTTTGGATAAAAATAAACACACATGAATGGAATGATAAGCTTTCAGCACAGAAATAGAAACTATAAAAAGAATCAGACATAATCTAAAACTAAAAATCATAATAAATTAAGTTTTTAAAAATACTGAATAGGCTCAATAAAAGAATACAGATGGAAGAGGAAATAGTAAACTTGACAATAGAGAGTAAAAATCATCCAATATAAAGAGAATGAAAATGATTGAAAACAAACTACTATACAATCTAGGAATCCCACCATTGGTCATAAAAGAAGTGATCAAAATATATGGTGAATATTTAAATTGAAAAAAATTTCTTACAGTGAAAGACACATTGTCATTAATTCCCTTCAAAATTCTCTCATTTTGAACCCATCCTATGGTTCTTTTCATTTTTTTGAAACAGTTCTTAAAATCCTCTTCTATGCATGTCTATAAGATGTGATAAAAAAATGTGGTGAATGCTGCTCCTGAGTGACATCCAAATGGAAGGTAGGCTTGTAAAAAATTACAGTGTGTTTTATCCACCTTATTCAACAGATCTGGCACCATATGAATTTGGGATGCTTCACAGAGTCAAAATGGCTGTGAAAGGTAAATATTTTGAGTAAATTCAAGACTTTGAGGCAGCCCAGGTTTGCACTACTAAAGACACTCAAGAAAGAGGATTTACACAAGAATTGCTTCAGAAAGCATCAAGAATAATGGGATAAATGTGTTCAAAGAAAAGGAGAGTATTTGTGAGGGGGATTAATGGCAATGTCTTCTACTGTAATAAACTTTTAAAAAATTTAAACATTTGCCATACTTTATCACAACTCATATCCAAAGGAAATAAAATTGACATGTCAAAAAACACCTACACTCCCATCTTTTATTGATGCACTATTCACAACAGACAGGATATGGAATCAACCTAAGTATCCACCAACAATGAATGAATAAAAAGAAATGTGTTATTTATAGACAATGTTATACTCTTCAACCATAAAGAAAAAAACCAGGAAATCTTATTATCTGTAATATAACTGATGGACTTGGAAGACCATCCAGGGAGATAGGTTATGCATATAAAGAGAAATACCACATGATTCACTCACATGTTTAATCTAAATCTAAAATAATTGATCTCATAGATTTCAAGAGCAGAACAGTGATTACAAGAGTCTGGGGAAAATGGGAAAATGGAGGTGGAGAAGTCAATCAACAGGTATAACGCTATTGCTACATAGGAGAAACAAGTTCTGGTGTTTTATGATATAGCAAGATTGGTATAATTAACAAAGATGTAATATGTATATAAAAATAATTAGAAGAGAAGACTATGAATGTATTTATCATAAATTATAAAGTTTAACATGATAAAAATGCTAATTACCTTGAGTTGATCACTACGCAGTATGTACATGAATCAAAATATCACATCATATTTTATAAAGGCATACAAATATATATCAATCAAAAAGTAAACAGCTTCAGAGATGTGAAATAATATCAGGTGATCTAAAATCCATGTCATTAACTTTTCATTTAAAAAATAGAAGTCTTAATGAAAAGATAAAGAAATAAAGACAATCTTATTCATATGAAATGTTGAGAACAAGGAAATCAATAGAAACAAAGTGGATTAGTGGTTTCTAAGGACTGGGGTATGGAGAGGTGGAGGTAGAGCTAATGAGTACAATATACCTTTTTATGTGATAAAAAGTTGTAAAATTGTGGTGATAGTTGCACATATTTTTAAATATAATAGAAAAATTGGAATTTACATTTTAAATGGGTGAATTACATTTTATGTGACACATCTCAAAGCTGTGTGGGTTGTTAGTTTTGTTTTCTTATTTGCAGAGCTAGAGATCAAGCCCAAGTCCTTGTGCGTAATAGCAAAGTGCTCAACCAATGAAATATATCCCCAATTCCTCAATAAAGTAATTTTTAAAAAGAAACAGTGGTAGAAAGTTTCTCAAATTTGCTGAAAGATAAATTTACAGTATAAAGAAGTACAGTGAACCCAGAGCAAGATAAAACTAAAGAAAAATCAGCCAAAAATGTATGTTAATTAAGTTACTTTAGACCAAAAGAAAATGGGAAACAGCTTCTCAGCTTTTTGGCTAAGATCAAGTGTAGAAAAAAATGGGAGAAAAATTCTTGAGAGAAAAATATTAAATGAAGGAGAACATCAAATTGAATGACTGTACATTCTTCACGAGAAGTGATGGGGGCCAAAACTACTGGAAAAACATTTCCCTAATAAAAGGAAAAATGTTAACACACAAATCTGTGCATTAATGTTTATAACAACTTTATTTATAACTACAGACTATAAACGATCCACATATCTTTCAACTGATGAGTGGATAAACAATAGAATACTACTCATCAGTAGAAAGAAGAGAATTATTGATACTTGTGACAACATGAAAGAATCATAAAGCATTTTGCTAGCTAAAAGACGCCAAACAAAATGCTAAATACTGGATGACTCCATGTACATGACACTAAAAAGGGCAAACTATAGGAAAAAGTCAGATCACTAGTTTCCAGGGGTTAGGAGTGTAGATAGATACTATTACTAAATAATAAAAAATAAACAATTAATGGAAACAAAGTCTATGTAAATAGGGAAGGGGGGGTGAAGGGCGCATAGGTAATGGGGGAAAAAATAAGAACTAAGATACATCATGTTCAGGTACAAACACCCAATGATAAATGTAAATGTATTGTATACCTAAAATGTACCAATTAATATATAAAAAAATAACCAATTAATACATTCAATAATATAGATGAACCTCAAATGCATTCATATAAATGAAAGAAGCTAGACTTTAAAAAACTATATAATGGTTGGTTCCACTTACATAGCATTCTGAAAAAGACAAAAGTAGAAAGGTTAAGAAATTAGTGGTTGACTGGGGTTAGGGTGCACTACAAAGAGGTACACTATAGGACTTGAGGGGGCTAATGGAATTATTTTTTCTTTATTGTGGTGGTCTTTACACAATACTACGCATTTGTCTAGCCTCAGAACCATATATACATACAGCAAATTTTATTGTGTGAAATTTTTAAACCAACTTTATAAAAACTGAATTATCCAATATTTTCATTTCAATGAGCATCTTTCTTCTAAAAATAGCCATGAAACCAAATAAAGTCATCCACAATATTTAGTTTGCTAAAAGAGCCATATTGATCTCTCTGAACCGTATCTCATGTGACCACTCTCCTATTTCAGTTTTTGACTCCTGTGAT